AAACTGGGGTGGGGGGTGGGGGTGAGGGCTGGAAAGAGCTCTGCATTTAAGAGCACTGGCTGCTCTATTAGAGGAGCCAGCCTTAATTCCCAGCTCACAACCAGCTCACAAATACCTGTAACTCCAGTTCCAGGGGATCTGACACTCTCTCTGGCTTGGCTTTCACAGGTGTCAGGTGTGCACATGGTGCATAGACACACATGCAGACAAAATGCACACACACATAAAAATTTTAAACGTAAAAAAGTTTTCAACTTGTCTGACCTCAGCTGCTCCCACCCTCTGCTTTTTCTGCTGCTCATGTAACAATTCATTATTAAGGAAAATATACTCAACTTAACATTCAACTGGACGTGTACGTCATCTCATTTTACCTCCTAGTCATCAGTACATTATGACAACATGGAAATTCTCATTTGATGAGTCTTTTAAGAGAGGTATACATATTTTTTTCATCTCTACCAACTCCCCATAGGAAAACATCTGCCCTGAGAACTGATGCGTGAGAATCCAAACACATTACTTGACCTGTGTCATTTTATTGGTCTGACCCTCTTCACTAGCTCAAAATAAAACCTTCTTAAATCTCAGATGACAGGCAGCTCATTGGTTTAAAAATTCCCTCGAGCCAGATCGAACAGGGTGGCATTCCAGCCAACTCTGAGACTAGCCAGTGTGTGACCCTGGGCAAAAACCACATTCCAGTGTCTGTATCTACTAATAAAGCTAATAATGTGTACCTCCTGACATTTTCTCAATAATTAGAATGACATGCATTGCTGTTAAATGAACAACAAGCCAGTACATACAAGCTTTCTTCTTCTGTTTATAATTATTCTTGTCATATATCCAGCTCCAAGACCCATACCTCTGAACCTTCTTTAACCACCTCTGTGTCCTTTCCCTGACCTCTAACTATACACTTCTTTTCTCCAATACTTAGTGTTGTTGGCAGTTCTAATGTCTGGTCTCTCTCACCAGATCTATAAACCCAAGGGTTTTTTTTTTTCCCCATTTCTCAAAGCACCTGACCCAAGTCTGAACCCATATCAGACCTTGATTAAGTACTTGCTAGAACTTAGAGAACTTGGTCCAACAGGAAGGAACCAGTCATTGGTTGACTGCTGGAAGGTAAGAGCCTTCCACTGTGGGATGAGCCTGTACCACCACAGGCCTTTTTGGCTTGCATTACCAGTGAACAGAGGTCTTGATTTAAGAACCCTGCAGGAGACAGTGGTTACCTGCAGAGTTTACCACTCCCCCTTCGTATCTGGGCTCAGAAGCTACGTTATTTCACAGCGCCTCCCTCCTACCAAACCCAAACTTCCTCAATTAATCTGAAATCATCTCCAGGACATTGATGGTGTCATGAGCAAAGGAAGGTTGATACCAGTAGCTATCTATTCCTAGACAGTTCAGAACTAATTCATTGTGTTGGAGGATGATGCAGTCTGCTGCAGCTAAGAACTCTGGGACATCAAATACAGGTTTTACCAGACTTGTTTTCCTAGACATTTAATAAAAATAAAAAGGCTACGTTATAGGCCCCAGGCAGAAGCCTGCACTGTGGCTGAGCTAAATGGATGTGTTGTCAAGCCACTTTTTAAATATTCATGTTTACAGACACAGCTGAGTGCTGCCCTCCCTCAGCCTTGGCCAGAAAGGCTTCTCTCTGCAGTGGTCGGCAGGTAATGTAGGGACTCATAACAAAAATGCCAAGAACAGAGTTAGAGAAGGGACTGAAGGAGCTGAAGGGTTTGCAACCCCAGAGGAAGAACAACAATATCAACCAATTGGACCCCCCAGAGCTCCCAGGGACTAAACCACCAACCAAAGAGCACATGGAAGGGACTCATGGCTCCAGCCATTTATGTAGCAGAGGATGGCCTTGTTAGGAAACCATGGGAGGAGAGGCCCTTGGTCCTGTGAAGACTCAATGCCCCCAGTATAGGGGAATGCAAGAGCAGGGAGGTGGGAGTGGGTGGGTGGGAAGGTGGGTGGGTGGGTGGGAGAACACCCTCATAGAGACAGGGGGAGGATGGGATAGGGAGTTTCTGGGGGAAGGGAGGGACTGGGAAAGGGGATAACATTTGAAATTTACATTTTAAAAAATCCAATAAAAAATAAAATAAAAAGTGTCAAGAACAAATGACTAGAGCGCTCACCCCTAGGTGGGACATCGAGAGCACAGCGCCCCCAGCTCAGGGATCACTGGAAGAGGGAAGGAAAGGCATGGAGAGCCTGAGTGCTGTGAAATGCTGTCCTCTGGACACGCCATGGCTATCGCACTCACGAGTTTACTGCAGTCATGGCTACCTACACATCAGTGATCGGTCCAACGGGCAGGACTAAACTGGACTCCGGCTTAAAAAAAAAGACAAAGACATAAAGTAGAGACACGTTGGGGATTGCTGGGTTCCTGGGCAGAAGTGAGGGTACACCGTTAATATGCAGGAAACTTACAGAATAAATACAACATCTTCTATCTAAATAAAGCAAAACCTTTGGAATGAAAGAAAACTTAGTTGACCGCTTAAGGCTGGGTATAAAGCTTGGCCCTGTTAAAGCCACAGTGCAGCCTGAGACGAGAATTTAAGGGAGTAGAAGGAGGAATGTCAAGCCTTAAAGGTCATCCTTGGCTACATAGGAGGATGGAGGCCAATTGGGCCAGAAGAGCGAGCCTCTCTCTGAAAAGAAAATCGAGATCTTTCTAATACAAGGATTCCAGGGTGTGGGGTTGAAATAGCCCTACTGTGGGAAAGCCGATGTGCGCCCACCATGCATTCCAAGATAAGACCACACATCCTCTCACAACGGGGAAAACCTCTTTGGGCACTCAGTGGTTAAACAGCATGACTCCAGATAATGGTGGTACATGCCTTTGATTCCAAAACTTGAGAGGCAGTGGCAGGCAGATTTCTGAGTTCAAGGCCAGCCTGGTCTACAGAGATCCGGGGCAGCCAGGGATACAAAAGTAATCCTGTCTCAAAAAAAAAAAAAAAAAAAGAGTCTGCCTACACAGGAATAGACTCACACCTGCAATGATGCAGGCCAGGCATGGTAGCTCATGTCTTTATAGTAGTGCTCTGGAGGCTAGGGCAAAAGGATCACCTTGAGATAGAGGATAGTGTGGACTATAGAGTTCTAGGCCAACTTGGGTTGCAAGGTAAGTTCTGGGCTAGCCTGGGCTACAGAGTGAAGCACCATCTCAAAAGTAAATGAATAATTAAAAGTAAAATCAAAAAGGTCTTGATTTTCAGTATATGGAAGCAGTTTGTAGCTTATGACAGGAATACTTTCTCAACCCCTTTTTCTGATTTATTTCACATTCTCCATCTCTTTCAAAGGGGACAGGGATTTAGAAAGGACACATTGATCATCTCTGCACACATTGTGACTAAGTATTTGCTTCTATCCCTGGTCTGTGGCCCTCTCTGAGGCAGAAGGTAAGATTACTACATGTAGGGACCCAGCACTACCTCATATGCTGCTGTACATCTGTGTTTAGCCGGGAAGTACTCAGCAAAAGCACTCAGACATTTACTGACCTGGTTTTAGATGTTTCACAGATGCTCCTACTTTTGTGACTGTTCCAGCAGCTTCGTGCCCAAGCACCATGGGCTTTTTCACAACAAAATCCCCAATTCGGCCATGCTCCCAGTAGTGAACATCCGAGCCGCAGATCCCCACCGAATGCATCTTCAGTAACACATCTAATGAGGTAATGGAGACAGAAGAAACACATGAGGGAAAGGTGAAACCTCCATTGCTCTCAGAAGCTCTAGCAATTTCCCTCTGGACAGGGAAGAGAGCTGGGTTCTCAGAGTCAGGCACAGAATTGAGATTACAAAGGAAAACAAGCTAAACAGAGAGCCTAATTAAGTCTAGGAAGACACAGAACAGCTTGAACATAGCAAAGGAACTGAGCGTGATGGTCCATGCGGTCTGTGCATGCTAACTTGGATGGGCTGGGCACCCTGCTGTGTGGTCAAATGTCCATGCAGGCTTTACTCACAAGGCAGGGTTCTTTCAAGGGTCTTATGGTACAATTAGCATTTAAATCAACAGACTTTGAGTGGACCAGATTATCCTCCATGAAGTAGACAGGCCTCATCCAATCAAGTAAAGCCCTTGGGAAAAGACCAAAGGAGAAACTTCCCTAATACTCCAACACAGAAAACTTGCCAGACACTGCTGCCCTGCCCTGCAAGCCCAGAACTTTCCAGACCGCCCAGTCACAGGTCAGTTGCTTAACATAAAATAAACTGTCCTCCTCCCCCTCTCCCAACCTCTGAATATACGCACATACATATACATACGTATCTTACTTGTTCTGTTTGTTTGGAGAACACTGATCAATCCTGCTGTACAAGATAGTATGAGGAGGAGACACTGTGTCAACCATTTACAAGAACAAACTGTTTTGCAGGAGATAACCAGCTACTTGCCACTGCTTGATGAACTGCCAGGTTAAGTTCCTCGTGTTCTTTGTTTTCTAAAAAGGTGCAGCCTTCCTTAGCTCTCCTCTGAGTTACCTCACACATCCCCTCTGAGGGGCTGAATCAGGTGAGGTACAGTGGTATTTCTGCTGTCAAGTGTCCACATTTCAAACAATGACTCTGCTGGGCCTCTCAGCTCAAGTAAGTACCAAAGGATTCCTGCTCTGTCTGACTGAGCTGACTTCATGAATACCTCCATCTTTGAAAGACAAAGAGGCCAAGAGTTCTGCTATGCACTCGGATTTGTCACAAACCACCAGCAATCCCTCCCTGCCCCCAGATATGGCTCTGGAGAAATGTCTCTGCCCTTGGTTTTGATTGAGTAGTTATGAATGACAGACTGAATTCTGAGATCCAAGATAAAGATTATTGAAATCAGAAAAACTCAGCCTTCTCTATACAAGTTCAAATTTGTAGCAAGAGATGAGATGTCTCTTGCTGAAACACTCACTTTCTGAAATACTTTCTCTCTTCCAATTCAACTACAGCAAAAGGCAAAAGAATGAAAGTAGTCTGGGTCAGAGAGGGCCCTTCATAGACCAGGAAAGGCCTTACTTGGCCACCTCTGCAACCAAAGCTACCTCGTCAGGATACAGTGAGGCATCTCCTCTGAACATAGTATCTGTGTGAAAATGTTTAAGCCCATCCGGGTGGTGGTGGCACATGCCTTTAATCCCAGAACTTGGGAGGCAGAGGCAGGCGGATTTCTGAGTTTGAGGTTAGCCTGATCTACAGAGTGAGTTCCAGGACAGCCAGGACTATACAGAGAAACCCTGTCTCGAAAAAAACAAAAAACAAAAAAACAAAAACAAATAAACAAAAACAAAAAAAAGAAAATGTTTAAGCCTTAAATTTGCATTGCTTGCTAACATTGATAGAAATAGCTATTTTTTTATATCTTATCACTGGAAGCCAACAATGTAGCTGACCTTTGAGTAGCCAAGCTCAGGAGTTACAAAGAGAGTTGCCTTCAGTCTGATGTTCACCCAGGATCTGTGCTTTGGGGCTGAAGTGTGGTACAGTGTTGAGAACATCCCAGGTCATCAAAGAGAGGACAGGGATACAAGGGACTGAAGACTCTGTGCATTGCCCGTAAGCCTCACTCTGGGATTCTATAGATTATGAACTGGATTTTGGGATCGAGGGATCTACCCTAGCCAACACTTGGCATGACCTCCCCAGGTCCAGATGCCATCTGGAAGCCAGCATGACAGCTCAGCCCAGTGGGCTCACCCACTGAAAGGCCTAGGAGTGGAGCAAAGGTGTTAGGAGCTCTGCCCCTACATACTCAGTCACTTTTGATTAGGGGAAGGGAAAGGGCTTCCCACAGCCCCTCCCACCCCTACTGGACAGGCAGATAGTTCTGGTCTGACTCTCTTGAGTATACTAACACAATGTTCCTCTACTAACTAAGAGATTTAGTTCTGTAGATTTTTAGAACCAGAATTATGATTTGGCATCTAATCTGGTAGACACAGCACTGGGTTGTTAGGTAGGAAGGGTTGGTTCTGCCTTTGGTCCACATGATTCACAGCAGAAACCCAGGGCAACTTGGCAGTCTGCTATCTTAGCTTCTCGCCTTCTATCGGTGATTCTTTTACTTCAAACAGTAGCCAAAATAAACCGCTGTGGCTAATGGACAAAGACGTAAGCACATTAGACAGTAGGGAGAGGGGCAGGGACCAATGCACACGCCTCCAAGGACAACACCAGCAGATACAATGTCACGTCAAGACCTACCATTTGGGCCCAGCTCAGGGATTGGGTAGTTCTCCTGAAATAAATAAAACAGAGAAAGTTGTTTAGTCTGCAGAATAACTTATCTGTATATTTTTCACCTATAAAATATTCTCCTGGAGTTTCATTGAATTGTTTCTCAGAACACAAGTTCACACCATACCCTACTACCTGAGCACAGACGGGCCAGTGCATCAGGCAAGCTAGAAACCCTGGCCTGCTCGCCACCATACTGCTCAAAACAGAGCCATTGGTCCAGAAAATGTAACGCCCGATACATTCCAAAAACACACTAGAGAACACAGCTGAAGTTAGTGACTGCCACAGATCAGAACAAGGTTCTGAAGCTGGGTTCCCTCTCTGGAAAACTGTCAGCTGCCCCACAGTCAACTGTCAACCTCAGAGCCTGGCGGAAGCTGCTCTAGTTGCTCAACGCACCACCACTCCTCTGGTGCTACTAGCCCAGGACTAAGAAAAAAGTATGCTAGATGTGTCCCTGGCAGAGAGGGCATCTGAGCTGCTCTGGGTCTCTAGATTTGCCTTCTACATTAGATCTTTTCATCCTAGAAATCATGCTCTCAGATACAATCTGTTTGCTCTGACATATTCCTACAGGAAAGAAGTGGTAAGTAGAGGCTTGCAAGGACTGTTTTAGACGGGTGGGAGGGTGTCCACACTGCTAGTCCGTTCTTTCACTTCAGCTCAGGTGGATACCCACTCCTCCCTCCTAAAACCTCCATGGGGAGTTTAGGAGCTCACTGGAAACACAAGGGCCCTGCATTTTAGTGCAAAAAGCAACCTGAAGTATTCTGGTGTTCACAAATAGTATTACAATAAAATTTGCTTACTAATCTTTTCTCCATGGAGTTAACCATGGAGAAAACTAACCTTTTCTCCATGGCCAGGGAGGGTTAAGTCAGGGTTGACAAGGAGGAAAGACACTGAGTGGATAAACCCAAATGTTTACTAATTCTTTGTGGGCAGACAAGAATCAGAGGAGAAGGCAACATGAATTGTTTACCGTGGCTGCTGTAGGCCAGATAATACTTTCAGCTCTGACTTACCACAGCTCAGAGCTTACAGATGAGAAGGAAACCTGAGGTTAGGGAGTTAGGTAACTTGGTCAAGATCCTGCCACCAGACAGAGAGGATTAACCAGGACTCAGCCCAGCTGTATCTGACATCTCTACCAGTTTCCACTGCACCTAGTGCAGTCCTGAGGGAGTGACCTCTCTTCTTTGGGTGAAAGAGCTGTCAATCATGTGAGGTGATTGACAGGTGGGCCCCATGCAGAGTGTCCTGATTAAAGCTTTCCTGGCCAGTGAGACGGCTCAGCAGGTAAGGGGGCTTTAGACAAGCCTGATGACCTGAGTTTGATCTTGGAACCCACATGATAGAAGAAAAGAACCAACTCCCAAGCTGTCCTCTGACCTCCATATACCAGCCATGCCTCTCTTCCTTCTCTCTCTCTCTCTCTCTCTCTCTCTCTCTCTCTCTCTCTCTCTCCTCCACCCCCCCCCACATATATACACACACACAGTGAATAAATATCTTAAAAAAAAAAAAAGAAAAGAAAGAAAAGCTCTCAACCTTCTCAAAGTTTCTTGAGCTGCCTTTTTAATTTTATAAAGCAGGGCCTCGCTATGCTCACCATGTACCCACGTACTGGAATCCACTCTGTACTCCAAATTGACCTCAAACTCATGAGTCTCTTGCCCCAGTACCCATCTAAGATTGAGGGCTGTGCCCCTAGGCCTGGCTCAAGCAACTTGCTATATAGGCACCCTCACAGCCTGAGTCCACACTGACACCAGCTAGTGCTAAACACTAAACACTACCATGCTCCTGTTTCTTTAACACTGGGTCCAGTGCCTAGCTCCAAACCGAGGCGGTAGCCTTCCCCAAAAGCCTCCACATAAGGTCTTAAATGGTTTAACTTCAGACCACCCATCTCTCCTGTGGGGAAAATTCAGTGCTAATTGAACTCCTCTGAGGAAAAAAACCAATTTGTGTGCTAATGCTGAGAGGCACAGAGCTATGGTGTCCGTTGGGTTATCCTGTGCTATGTGTTCTACAGGCATCATTAGTTCAGCTTCTGAGGCTCCACAGCCTGAGAATGAAGAATTGGGATAGCTAGCAACCTGCCCAGTGGCTACAGAGGCTAAGCATGGGATGACCACTCCTGGAGCCCAGGAATGAGGCACCAACTGGTCAACACAAAAGGAGCCTTGGGTGAGGGGGAAATTATTCAAAGTAATTAAGCTACTTTTTTGTTTTGCTTTGGGGGAATGGTTAGGTTGTTTGTTTGTTTGTTTGTTTGTCTTAGTAATTTAAAGAAGGAAAAAAATATCCATTTTAAAAGAAATTACCACCTTAGAACAGATATCACCAAATCTTTCTCAAAGAAGTCACGGGCCCCATGTTTGACATTAACTAACGCCCTAGAATGTTATGTAAACTTGTGTTTCTGTTATACCAGATAAAATTTTAATTTCAACTTCATGTAATCTAATGAACTCAATTTTGTTTCTAACTTGGAGCCTTGCCCACCCTCCCTACTAATGACATCAGCAGACAAACCCCAGGCACTGATGCTCTGGCTCCAAAGTCTTCCTAGCTCTACTCCCAGCTAGGGCAAGCCATCCCTACCTAATCACACACAAAGGTGCAGTGACTCTTCTGCACACCAGAGGGTGCTATGCTGATAGTTTGTTTACTGTTGAGTGGCAGAGAACATTGAACACTTCATTCTTCCCACCGTTTCCCTCCCCTCTCTCCCCACATTCTCAGGCTATTTATCTGGAGGCAACCTTTAAACTGCTCCTCCTCCCAAATGCTGGGAATACAGCTGAGTGCCACCACACCAAATTTTTGTGGTGCTGGAGGAGCCCAAGGCTTTGTGTATACAAGGCAAGCAACAGAGCTAGAGTCCTAAACAACCTCTCCCCTGCCTCTTGACTTCACTCAACTGTGGCTCAGCAATGGCCTCCCCCTCTCTGCAGGGGGTATGCCACTGGGCACCTTATTAAGATCAATCCTTGGTAACTGGAGAGATGGCTCAGCAGTTGAAACTGGTTGATGATCTTGCAGGCAGAGGACCAGAGTTCAGGCTCTGGCATCCATGTTAGGCTGTTTACAAATGCCTGTAGCTCCAGCCCCAAAGGATCCAACACTGCTTTGTGGCCATTGCAGGCACACATGCACGCACACATACAAACATATAAGATGCCATCTTTATACTGAAAAAATCAATTCTCACAGCTGGTAAGCATATACCTATAGCCCCATTTTTGAGTAAGCTGAGGCAGAAGGATCTAGAATTTCAAGATTGCCTGAAATAGACATCAATATTGTCTCAATAAATAAGCCTTAACCTTGTAAATACTGTCCTGAGAACCACTGTGGGCCCCACAGCTTTACCAAGCTACCACAGCATGGCCACTGGACACTTTAGTGGTGTGTGGCTGGCCACCCTGGTTACCTAATCTCCTTTTCCAGCTCAGATTTCCTCAATGGTAAGCTTTCCTTTACCTCTTTCTCTTTCAGGGTTCTTGAGGGTTGTAGCTCAGGGGTAGAATGGATGCCTAAAAAGGGTAAGGACAGACAGACAGACAAATGTATCCATGTGTGCACAGATGCACACATGCATGCATTCTCTCTCTCTCTCTCTCTGTCTGTCTCTGTCTCACACACAGAGCTACTTAGTTCCTCTGAGAGCCTACACTTTCACTTTATTCTCAGTGATTGTCATTTCAGATGCATTCAAGGTTTCCTGAGCAAGATTTCTTGTGAATGACTCACAAAAGTGAAAGAGGAGCTGTAAGTCTTAGTTATGTCAGCATTCTGCAACTTTTTTTGCGTCAGAAACATCTGAATCATATATAAAGCCACCCTTCTCTCTCTTCAGCACACTCACTCTCAGTAACTCCTAAACAATCTCCAGGAAGATGTTTGAATGGGATCATCTCAGTTTTTTGTAATCCAAATGTGTGTGTGTGTGTGTGTCTGTATACATGTATATGTGTGTATGTGTATATGTGTATGTATGTGTATATGTGTATGTATGTATGTATGTATGCATGTATGTGTATGTTTACATATGTATGTGTGTCTGTATCTGTGTGGTTTGAATGTCTCTTCACAGCTCCCTTTGGTATGTTTGAATTCACACCCTCAACCCATTTTCCCTAGGTCAGTGGCTCTCAATCTTTCTAATGCTGTGACCCTTTAATACAGTTCCTCATGTTGTAGTGACCTCTGATCATACAATTATTTTCATTGTTAGTTCATAACTAATTTTGATGGTTATCAATCATATTGTAAATATCTGACATGCAGGATATCTAATATGTAACCTCTGTGACAGGGTTAAAAACCGCTGTTTGAGAACCTCTGGCCTAGGTGGTAGTCAGGGCATCAAGACAAGGAGAGTTCAGGAAAGGGATATTTTCCCTCCTCCAGCTGGCCTAGGTGAGCTAGGCAGAAGTCAGGCTCTGGAATAGCCTGCTCATGTACAAAGCTGGCTCTCCTCAACCTGTTGTGTACCTAGGGCATGTTATATAACATCTTGAATTTCCTCTTTTGTATCATGAGGATAATCATGAAAGAGTGCCGACTCACAGCAAATATGTTTGCTCTTATTACAAAAGAAATAGCCCAAAGTTCTGTCCCCGTAACAGTTTAACCAGCTCTGGACAACCATGTCCTTTGGGAAAGGCTAAAGTACTTCAAAGCGTATTAGACTCCTTTTTTTTCAATGTTATGTTTGAAAGAAATTTGTCCTTTAAAAGGATGGGACTTGGAAGACAAAGTAGGCCTCTAGCAATGATTTAGGCTTGCTTCTTGTAAGGGACATACCTTAAAGGGACAGGCATTGAAGGTAATGTGGCCTGTGCCCAGATTCTTAGAAGATGTCTTTGCCACTTGCTCCCACGTGTCAGCCTGTCTGTGACCCCAGAGGCTGTGCTGAGGTGGACAAGACACCATTGTTACTCTCTTCCTGCTTCATTTTCCCCTAACCCCCATGTGTTTGTCTTGTGTTTTCAGAGTTGGAGGGAAAGCCAAAGGTTTTCCAATTAGGCAAGAGACTTTGCTCTAGCCATTGGTCCTGGCATGTGAGGCGGTCAAAATAAAGGATTGACAGCCCTCCCATAGTCCACTGACCTGGTCCTCTGCCCAGGCTCTCCCTGTTCTATCCAGCCTCTGTCCTGCTGATGACAACCTTTCTGAAATACGAATGTTTATATTCCTCATTAGCCCTGAAAAATTCTGTTTCCCTCACATGGGGACCCCATTCCCCAATCTTACCTCCAGCCACAAACACTTCCCACTTACTCATCCTCATAGAGGCTCCTTCTCCCTCCCCCTCCCCAAGATCCCATATGGGAAGGGAAGAGAGACCTCCTAACTCCTGTGGGACCCTAAGGAGACTTAAATTCGTATACGTATAGCCGGGTGGTGGTGGTGCGCACCTTTAATCCCAGCACTTGGGAGGCAGAGGCAGGCGGATTTCTGAGTTTGAGAGTTCGAGGCTAGCCTGGTCTACAGAGTGAGCTCCAGGACAGCCAGGGCTACACAGAGAAACCCTGTCACAAAAAACCAAACCAAAAAAAAAAAAAAAAAAAAGGGAAGTTTGTATACGTTAGGATTGAAGAGTCTGTGAAGAGTCTGGAAATACCCAGATGGGTCTACCCAACAATCTGGGTGGCTGTTTTTATTGTTCTTTTGAGACAAGGTCTCTCTGTGTAATCCTGACTAGGCTGGCCTCAGACTCACAGACATCTGTCTGTTTCTGACTCCCAAGTGTTGGGGTTAAAGGTCAGTGAGTGGCAGCATCAGGCTTCCAGCAGGCTTTTGTAGCCTTGGGCCTAGGGTGCTCAGGCATTCCTTTCTTAAGAAGCCTTCCCTGGAGCCAGCCAGTGGTGGCGCACGCCTTTAATCCCAGCACTTGGGAGGCAGAGGCAGGTGGATTTCTGAGTTTGAGGCCAGCCTGGTCTACAGTGTGAGTTCCAGGACAGCCAGGGCTGGCTACACAGAGAAAACCCTGCCTCAAAAAAAAAAGAAGAAGCCTTCCCTGAGGTAACACGGGGAAATGGAAACATGACTCATTTACACCCTCTGTCTACTGGATCCCAATATACAGGGGATAGAGAACTCCTTAATTCTTATCAGTAATATAAAATTTTTCTTCCTAATTAAAAATACATGAACAAAACCATATGCTAATTTATTAGATAATACTTATTTATAGTAAGCAAGAAAGAACAGGCCTGTAAGCAGCAATGGAGCAGGCTCGTGCACAGTTTTATATAAGTATTTGTACTCTTTTATATTGCACTGATATGATAACTCTCTGCAAACCTTGATCAAGTTTCCTGTGGCTAGAATATTTTTAGTATAAAAAAATCCAGTTTGGAGAAAACTTTTACCTTCAACAACTGTGCTGAGAACTGACTAAATTTGTTGCCAATATTAATATATATAACTACACATACAGATACACACGTCATTATATGTACATATGCACATGCTTCTCCTTAATATGTCATGGGATATTTGAAAAGAGATTTCCCCTAGTCTATGAGCCCTTTTCTTCTCAGAATAGGGTTACGTTCCCAGAACCTTACAACCTTATCAGACTGGTGTTTCCTTCTCCTTTGATGGGAAACAGCTCTGGGCCTCTGGGCCTTCCTAGACAAAGGCAATGCTTTCTCAAGCATTTGATAGAGGAGCCAAGTTACTGGTTTTGAATTTGAAGTGGCTTGTCTTTGGTTTGGGTTTTGTTTGCTATAGGATCATAATTTAGATAAAAACAAAAGGAAGCATTTCTTTGGACAGTTCCTTGTTTTCTAAATGAGTCTGGTGTTCTATTTTTCCTCTGAAGTGCCTCTGACAGGTAAGAGACTTCATTCAGTGCTTTTTCTTTCTTTTTAATAATGAGGATTGAATTTAGGGCCTTGCCCATGGCAACCCAATCTCTAAGTTACATAAGTAATTACATAATTACATAAAGCCCTCTTCTCACTTTTGAGATAAGGACTCACTAAACTGCCCATGCTGGTCTCACTCTGTAGCCCAGGGTAGCTCTGAAGGCCTTGAACTTTCAGCCTTCCCGCCTTGGCTTTCTGAGTAGCTGGGGCTATAGGCTTCAGCTAAGCCCAGACATATTAAATGTAGCCAGACCCCCTCTCCAGATTTTCTCCCTCGTTGAATCCAGGTGCTCACTAATGGCTATCAAGATACTTGACTCTGTCAGGTGTTGACAACACAAGCCAGGAAAAGGGTCAGGATGCCTGGGACTACTTGACCTGCCAGGTTGTCATGACAAGACCTTCCTTCTCATGCAAAGTTTAACAGTGAAGTTTATGTGTTTTATTAGAGATGTAAGTTGTTTTTTAAAAAACATTATCATCAAAGCAATTCTCTTTTCACTGTATCCTATTTATTCTCGCCTATGCAAATGAACATACATGCCACATAAATGCAGGTGGACACATGTCAAAGGACAATTTCTGGGAGCCAGTGTTCTTTCCACCACCATATGGGTTCCAGATAGCAAACTCAACCTGTCAGGCATGGCAGCAAGCACCATCTTGCCAGCCAGCCCTTAAAGCAATTCTTTTTGCCCTAGGAAATGTTACATTTCCTCTAAAAGCAAAAACTTACTATATTCAGAGAACACTGTTATTAAAACTTCATACCGATGCATGATTCTCTCTGCCCTTTATAATGAAACAATATTATCCCAAACCCATCTTTTTTTTTTTTTTCTTTTTCCCAGACAGGGTTTCTCTATGTCAGCCTGGCTGTCCTGGAACTCACTCTGTAGACCACGCTGGCCTCGAACTCAGAAATCCGCCTGCTTCTGCCTCCCAAGTGTTGGGATTAAAGGTGTGCGCCACCACTGCCCGGCCTTAACCCATCATTTGTAAACAACTGTTTTTCCTTTACCTTGTTGTCCACTCATAGCCAATGACAGTATAAAATAAAAACCTAAACCACCTACCTCCTCTAGGGTGCTTAGCTGTCTGTCACAGCAGCTGATCTGTTCCCTGTCCACATGTTGAAATAAGCAAGGGCTGGTGTTCACGAAGGAAGGAGATAGTGTGCTCTCAGAGCACTGGTAATAGAACAAGACACTGGGAGGCACATGTAGAAACGGCTAGCATTTTGTTTGCTGTAGAGTCCAGCAAACATTAGTCTGTGGTCAGCTAGAAATGAAAATAAACTCATTCTTTCATCGCTGAGTTTGAAGCACTGAACTAAAGTACCCAGCACGTGGGTGGGACGTAGAAATGTAGCAATGTCTTGATTCCTTCCCTTAGTATCCTTACAGTCTAGAAAACTCTACATCATAAAATTTCTTTAAAATGCAAAACTCACAAGCCACCCGCTTGCCCCCAGCAAAGATTCTGTGCAGACTAGCAAAGCCACTGTTTTCTACTCCAGTTTCAGAAACTAACAATTCATCGCCCAAAGAAGAAAAGTTCTAGATTTCTCAAGATGGGCTAAAGAGGCATAAAGTAGTTGAACTGCTGCAGTCCTAGTGTTCTGCCTGGCCCACAGTCTAAGAATTTTGCCCAAACTGTCCACACATTTGACAGTTTTGGCCTTTGTCCATCTCTTCCTGGTAAGATTGTTAAAAGGCTTTGGCCTCCTGCTTAACTCCAGTTTGCACAGACCAGTGGGGATACCTGGGACTCTTTGCTGGCCCTTTTATAAGCACGGTGCCAATGAAGCTCACAACCCAAATAAATACTAAAGCCTCTCCTCTTCCTCATCTCCTCTTCCTCCCCTCTTCTTCCCACCCTGTCCTCCTTTCCCTATTAGGGCTCTAACCTAGAGACGCTACCTCTGGCCTTGAATTTACTTTTCTTCCTGCCTCAGTCTCCTGAGTAGCTGGGATTACAGGCCTGGTGTTCCTCTTCAAGCCAAGTTAATTATAGCAGGAGGAAGACGGTGCTGAGCCACCCAGCTACCAGCAGTGGAGGTGGGGCTGACCCCTACTGCAGGCCCCTTGGTTTTGACTTTACTATTTCCTTTTCAAGAATACCCCCTCATATTTGCTGATGGGTGGCTTGCCTCTTTGTACATCAGCTCATTCATTTATTTTTCCCTCTTGCTTAAGTTCCAACTTCCCCCATTTAAAATAGAGAAATCTGAGCCAGGGCAGTGCTAGCACACATCATTAATTCCAGCACTCAGGAAGCAGAGATCGGCAAATCTCGGTTCAAGGCCAGCTTGGTCTACAGAGGGAGTTCCAGGACAGCCAAGACTACACAAATCATGTTTCAAAAACACAAAAATTACATAACAAAAATAATAAACTGGAGAGATGGCTCAGTTAAGAGCACTGACTACTCTTCCAGAGGTCCTGAGTTCAATTTCCAGCAACCACATGGTGGCTCACAATCATCTGTAATGGGGTCTGATGCCGTCTTCTGTGTCTGAGATCAATGTACTTTTATGTACATAAAATAAATCTTTAAAAGAAAAATCTGGGGTTTCCCCCCATTATGAAGGAAACCTACCAGCCTGTCCTAACATGTCTGCACACACACCAGTCTCCTAACATATATCTGCTCATTTACTAGTCCTTCCTAATATGCATGTGTATAAGTGTCTACACACAAACACATCCTCTCTCTCATTTATCACCCAAATTACACTCTTTCCTCAGTGTTGACACGAAGTGTGAGAAGCCTTCAATTACTGTAGCTGGGGAAGGGAATCCTGTCTTCCAGGCAGCCAGAGACCAGGCTGGGTCTTAGGTTTCCTTCCTGCTTGTTTCAGCAAAGTGGCTCAGGTCCTGTTTTTCTGGACTTATATGCCCTGGACAGTAGCCAGTTTCTGGCCTCACTGGTGGCTAGGAAGGCATCCCTGGGAAAGCCTGAGCTCTCCTTCCCTTCAGAACCCTCTGGAATCCAGCTTTACATAGTAGGAATGGGTGTTTCTCCAAATAATTCCAAAGTGTGTGAGCTCCTGAGGCAAGGATTTTTATCAGCAGACCCTGCCCCTAGTCACTCAAAAGAAAGCTAAGCCTCAGTTCCCCACCCATCCTCCATGGGAAGACCAAAAACTTACATTAAAAAAGGAAAACATGGGTTAGAGAGATGGCTCAGTGGTTAGGAGCACTGACTGCTTTGTCAGAGGTCCTGAGTTCAATTTCCAGCAACCACATGGCGGCTTACAACCATCTGGAATGGGATCTGGTACACTCTTCGAGTGTGTGTCTGAAGACAGTTGCAGTGTACTCATATAAATAAACAAATAATAAATATTTTTTTTTAAAGGAAAACATCCAGCACTTGGGAGGCAGAGGCAGGCCGATTTCTGAGTTCGAGGCCAGCCTGGTCTACAGAGTGAGTTCCAGGACAGCCAGGGCTACACAGAGAAACCCTGTCTTGAAAAACCAAAAAAAAAAGGAAAACATGTCTTCTCCCTTCCCCATTTTATAATCCATAGCCAAGCTAGCCTATGCCTTTCAAAAGCCAGTACGGCCTAATCTATCACACTCAGACATCCTGGGTGTCACTGTGGTTTTCCTATGAGAGCACAGCTCCCCTCAAGATGTCAGGGTTTGAGGTTCGTCCTACCACCCAAACTCGTACTTACTGAATCTATCTGCCCTAAAGAAGCAGAGGAACAGAAGGTGGTGGCGGCAGAGAGAGCATCCTGTCTGGGAAAGAGGAAATCGAGGAGGCCTGTGTGGGATTGCAGGGGTCCCACCAATAGCATGCTCTCCATTGGGAGCCCTGATGACCTCACTTCAAGGGTTATTTACAGGCAAGAGGAGCCATCCAGTTTCCCTAAAGAGCAATTTTAACCCTTGGTACAGGGCAGTGCTTTGATGGTTTCTTTCCTTTATCTCTTTGGGGACTAGGGACTGTGGTCCTCAGCACACAGCAGGCATATTCTCACTTAGTAAACATTAGTGACACAAAGGACTAAGTTCAAAATCACTCTTAAGCTATGTAGCAATACATCGCTTTTCTGTCCCCATACCTGCCATTTATTGTAATAAACAAACATAGTGTCTCTTTAATTCAGGACGTTGGGTAGATGTTCCAAAGTGACTGGAAAGAGTGTTTCAGTCTGAGTTCTTGTCTTGGCTCTGTGAACTAACCAAAACTACCATCTTGGGGAGTGTCAGCTTCAGGCAATGGTTCTTGATTTGGAATCCACAGACAGGTGGATACGTCTACAGGTGGAAGAGTTAAGGAACTCTGAACAGCCTGAAAAATGCTTCCAAGTCTGTTTGCATTCTGCGGAGTGATAAGCCACTGAGGACGGGCTATGAAACAGACAAGAACTGTTCATCTGGGTGAGCCTCTCCTGGTGCATGTTCTTTGAATGAGAAGGAGAGGGACTCTGGGGATCAGAGGAGACAGCTGGTCCCCAATCCACATGCTGCATGCCCCACTGAGATGGACTTTGTCAAGGGAACTTTGGCATGACCACAGGGATGAGTCAGCAAATGTCTGAACTCTGGTTCAGGGAGCAGAACTAAGTTTAAAGCCAGAGACAGAGGTACACAGAAGGCTTCAGGGAAGCAATCCAGAAGTGGACTAAAGGAGATAAGCAACAGGCTCTATCCCCAGCTAAAGTGCATTAGCACTTACTGAATACTAGGCTCTCTCCTGACAGTAATTCTGCTAGGAAATATCAGTTCCAAGCAAAGAAAGGATTAAATAGAAACTTCACTGCTTTTAGCGGTTTTTTTTGTTTTTTGTTTTTTTGTTTGTTTGTTTTTTGTTTTGGTTTTTCGAGACAGGGTTTCTCTGTGTAGCCTTGGCTGTCCTGGAACTCACTCTGTAGATCAGGCTGGCCTCGAACTCAGAAATCTGCCTGCCTCTGCCTCCCAAGTGCTGGGATTAAAGGCGTGCGCCACCACCGCCCGGCACTTCACTGCTTTTAAATGCCATCTCGCCACCTTTTTCTGTCCTGCACTGTCTACCAGAGAAGATCTGGGTAGATCCCAATCCTAGAAGTCTTCCTCTGACCCTTCTGAAGACCAATAAACAAGAGTGTGAATTTGTAGCTTTCGGAGGAGGTGGCGGCTTGATTAGTTTTCAACGGTCATGGGCACAGGTCACGTGCCTGGAACCGGTCTACGTTCCGGGAGCACGCGACCAGAACTCTCTCTAGAGATAGATAACGGCTACCCCACCCCCGCCTCCCGGTAACCAGCTGAGATCTGTGTAAGCCCAGGCAGCCAGAGGTGCTTGGCACGGACCACCTGCCAGCCTATAAGCAACAGAACTTGGGAGTGGGTACCATTGCTGAGCTTGCAAGAGGAGCGAAGCAGAGCTGGGTGGGTGGCTGCCTGAGTTCCCACACTCCTTCCCCTTTTTACCAAGCGAATGTCTCCAGGTCCATGCACCACCAGGGACAGGTTTTCGTCCTTAGCTGGAGCTGCCATGTCGTTTTGTTGCTTCGAGGTGTCGGCTGGACCCGGCGGGGAGCTGATGGTTCTGCTCCTCTAACCGCAAGGGGTCCAGAGTAAGGGGCAGGGGCGGAGCCTGGAGAAGGCAAAGCTCGGCTCGGGGTGGGGCCGGCGCGCTTGACAGCCAGGAGGCGTGGTTACGCCGAGGGATGGGGGCGGGGGACGAGACTTCACTCTGACTTGCAACCCCGAGTAAAGAAAGCAAGAGGCCTACGAAGGCCATTGGGGATTTGTGACTGCAGAAGACCCGGCTAGCACCAAGATCCTCAAACAGCAAGTTTAGGTCTGAGGTGGAGCGCGGGTGTTTCGTGTTACTAACGGGAACAGTGCTGCCTCAGGCAGGACGCCGCGAGCGCTCTGAAAAACCCGCTAAGCTCGGCAGCCGCTTCGATCTCCCCCCCAGCAAGCGACAAAGGGGCCTGACACTCGCAGGGTTCAAAGAAGGAATGCATGTGTCACGTGGTCCTGATCCATCTGCATCAAGATGCTTTAGAGCGAATTTGCAAGCCTTTCTCTTTAAAGGCTTTCTAGCTTTTCATTGGCAGCCGGGTTTCTGCCCAGATTCCACCTTTAGTGTCTTCCTAGTCAGGTTTTTACTTTAGCGATGGAGCTTGCTGCACCCCCTTTTAGCTATCCATGCTGGGAGTTTCTTTTCCCTTCCTTTCCCTTCTTCTGTGTAGCCTTGGCTGTCCTGGAATTCGCTCTGCAGACCAGGCTGGCCTTGAACTCACATACCTACTACTAATTTCCAGGGGATTCTCACCAAAGCTCTCAACTCTTGGTGTCTCCCTGTGAGGATGGAACGGGGTTTTACATTCTTTAGCAACATCCCCTGGATGCACTAGAGGACCTTCTGAGGCTAAAGGTTTTGTTTCTTGACTAGAAGGCAGTGAGATGTTTGGTACACCAGGGGAGCTTCATGGAGATGGATACCAAATAAGATGGGGGAAGTGAGGAGGGATGGAGCAAGTAGACGTTTGGTGCAAGGCTTAATAACAAGATGTATTCTTTAAAAAACCGTTTTATGATTTTACGTGTTTGAGTGTTTTGCCTGAATGTATGTATGTGCACGGTGTGGGTGAATGTGTCCTTGGATGTATGTATGTGCACGGTGTGGGTGAATGTGTCCCAGGATGTATGTATGTGCCCAGTGTGGGTGAATGTGTCCTTGGATGTATGTATGTGCACGGTGTGGGTGAATGTGTCCCAAGATGTATG